GTGGTTCCGCCGGGTCCCATAGCCGCCACGTCTTGCTGGTTGTATTGTATCCCACCATGTAATACTTCTTGGCCCTGGCAGAAAACTTATCGTTTCGCGAGCGAGCTTCTACGTGTTTAAACGCTACAGACCCCCACTCATGCATGTGCTTCAAGCTGCCGAGTGGTTTGTCCTCCCAAACCTCAAGTGGTGCTTTGCCGTCCAGGACGTCAGTAGGTGTGCGGTTCTTGATGTAAATGGCGGCCTTCGCGGCTTCCGCCCACAGTTGACGCGGTAGGTGCGGAGCTCCAAGCATGAGACTACGTGCTGCACCGATGACGGTCCCGAAACCGCGTTCGGCGACAGCATTCCCTTGAGGGACGTACGGGGGGCTTGTCTCCACAGCGATCCCGAAGGACCGACACATTGCTAAGAACCTACCCTTGAAGTCGGCTGCGCCATCGCAATGGATTTTCCCGATGCAGATGCCCTCGGGATCGGCGACTTCTTTAATCAGTGTTTCGAGCGCGTCAGTCACTTCATCCTTTGTCTTCAGGGGAATGCCCCACCGCATGCGAGATTTATCGTCGGTGAACATTGCGATATGCTGACATCCGCTATACGATGGCACACCATGTTTCCCCCACAGGTCGAGATGCATAAGCATCATTCGCGTCAGTGAACGGGCGCGGCCAACCGGGGGGTGACTCGCCTTCTTGCTTTTAGATACATCGCACACTTCGCAGTCACCTGGTTGAATGTTGGTGATGAACTTGATGCCGGCGCCTTCCTTATCCGAGAGCTGCTTCAGGGCGCGCGCATTGCAATGTCCCATCCTCCGGTGCCAGACACCGGCATCGGTATCGGCACGGAAAACCAGCGGAGAACTAGGCAGGTCGAGATTCAGGTCGTCCAGGATGAGATTCACGACGTACATTCGAGGCACCTCTGCTGTTGATATGGGGAAAGACAGGTTCCGGCTTCGCAGGGCCGGAGGTGCCGAAAGTAGATCCGTCTTCACCCCCTTCTCATCCAACTCTCCGACAGAAAATATGTTTGCTCCAAGGTCCCGCACAAGCAGAACCTCCAATTCTATCGGGACGGGTTGACCTTTGTCATTCTTGAGTTTGAACTTCAGCGTACCTTTCTTGGTGGCGCTGGATGTGCCGCACGAACCCTTGATGCGGACGTCGCAGTCAACCAAGTCGACTACATGTTGTGAGACTGGGCTCTCGCCGCTTACCATGTGTCCCGAAGCGGCGGTGTCGATGAACACCCTCGTATTCTCGGCGGGCGCTGTCTTGTCCACTGCACGAAAAACGTTGGTGTACGCGACCAGCTCCTCATGCTGTATCGCGGCAGGCGGGTCCTTTTCCTGCTCGTAGGAGGCAGCAGGCTCCTCGGTTTCCTCTGCTGTGGCAGGCGCAATCGGCACCTGCAATGGGAAAGCACGTTCCAACAATGGTAGCGAAGCTGTGGCAGGCGCAGCCACACCTGCCCTACATTGACATCGGACGCCTCCTCAGGGGTCGATGCAGCAGGCGCAAACGGCACCTGCTCGGGATCGCCTATGGCGATGTCGAACGATTCCAGCGTGAGGTCGACCTCGCGCGCGTGCGTGAGCCACGCCTGTGTCGTGGCTTCCGCGGTCGTGTTGACCTGCTGCTGCTGCTGCGGTTGCTGTTGTTCACGGTTCGAAAACCGCGTGGCATTGGAGGCGCGAAGCGGGCAGTTCGTCCAGGTGTGTTCCGTAGAATTGTGACAGTAACTGCATAAGCCGTCCCTGTCGTACCCGCGTCTTTGCTGTGAGTGGTTTGGCCGTCCAGAGGACCGGTTGTCGGAAGACGCACCACCAGCTCCGTTGCCAGAAGTTGCGCCGCCATGGTTCTGGTCGTTGCTGTTGTTCCCCCTCGACGACCCGTTGTTACGGTTCGACGAGTTGTTCCAGCTGCCACGTCCGCGTCCACCGCGCTGCGCGCGTCCACGACCATGATGACCGCCGCCCTTACGGAAAGAACGCGCTCCGCCGTGTGTGACGGTATTCAGCGCACGGCTGCTGCTTCCGGACGTGTTCTTCGAGGCAACTTTACCACGAATGTGCATCGCGTGGAACGAAGTGGCTCGGTCGGCGACCTCCTCGAAGGACAAGACGCTCCCAGCAGCCTGGCCGCACAGCAGCCCTGTCTTGAACTCTTTGTAGTGGTCGTCCGGCAGTGCTTTCAGGAAAGCGAACGTCTTTCGGTGGTCAGCCACCGTGTCGTTATACACGGCTAGCTCCGTGCAGATCCGGCGCATGTCTTGAATAACATTGGCCGGATCAAAGTCGTGGTCCGCAGTAACTGCCAAAGATATGAACTTCTCGTGCAGCTCCTACGTACGGTATACCCCAGCGGCCTGGTACTTTCGTTCTAGGGCGAGGAATGCTCCACGACCGTCTCCGTTGTAGGAAGACCCGATAGGCGCGTATGCCTGCACAGTCTGCGAGGCCGCGCTCTGGTAGCCCCCGGTTTCAGATGTGGCGAGCATCAGCCGGGTAAAGACCTGTCCGTTTTTGTCCTGGTATCCTTCCAGGGCAGTTTGGTATGCCAAAGTCTGGTTTGGCGTAACGCTTGGTCCAGGATCCGTAGGGGCTTTCTCCACTCCCAACAGAACCTTGTGCAGCTTGTCCTCCATGAATAAGGAGGTCTGCAGAGTTCGCCAGCCAACGTAGTCGCCTGGGTCGCCACTGAACTTGGCGAATCCTCTTCGGATCTCGCCTGACGAGCCGGTAGCCATGCTTACCGACGCTTGTGACTCTGGTGTGCTAGCTCGAGCAACTCGAGGCTCAAAACCTGTTGAGGCAACAGCACTGTCACTGCAGTTGCTGTACAGCTATTCCTTCAGCTGTGGCTACAAAGTAGTAGCTGGCATGTGATGCGAGGTTAGGTAGGCAAACACACAGAGTGATATTATTATCCACACAGACGCCCAAGCTGTCTTCACCTGACGGTTACAGACTTGGCAACGCCTTCGCAATACCGCATAAACCCATGCAGTAGAATAGAGTCAGTCGTTCTTGTACCGCAATTACTCCAACAGAGCGCAAAAAGCCAACCCAAAGGGGGGGTGACTGCGCATCGTTGTTGCACGTACGTGACTGGTCCCGAAAAAAACCGTGTGTGGGATGTGTTGGTCTGTGGGGCAATCTCCCGTGGGTTGTCGAACTTCAAATGCGCAGACGAATTGGCGGCTTTCCGTCGGACGAGGGTCGATTCAAAGTGTCACATGCATAGACATTGTGTCAGAACCGCACAGAGGCCATGTACGCGCTTGGTGTGTGCTTCTCGGGAGCGATAGCTCCCCATGTGGTGTGGCCACGTCATAGCAGTACGTCACAACAGCAATCTGGCAGTTGGCAAGCGGCGGACCTCTCGGGTTGTTCGTGGTGGACTGCAGAGACTCGTTTCCATGTGGCAGATCTCCCGTTAAGACACACAGGCCATTTCTGTCCGGATTTAGGTAGATCCGACTCTTGCATTCTTATAACCAAATGTGAATTCGAGATGTGATTTCTTCGTTAAGACCGACCCTAAATGATTGGCTTCGGGTCGTCTGTTTCAAGTCCTAAAGATTCGACGGGTTCCATAACATTTCAGCCAATCAACGAAAGAGTTCTGTGGATCTTCCGGTCTAATAACCAAATCTGAATGCGATTTCGACGTCTGATTTCTTCGTTGTTAGGACCGACCCTGAACCATGTGTCGACACATGCCAACAACGCCAGCGGAGCGTTGGCACGGCAGCTGTCTGAGCGGATGTGGAGCGAGCGTGTACGTGTGGGGAAAAGAGAATACAGCAGCAGTAGCGTTCCCAACGTACATGCAGAAAGGCGGTACAGACCGAAGCAATTTCAGCTCGTTTTCCTTTTTTTTTGCTGTGCATGCTGTTGTTTCTCATGTAGCTTTTGGCATACCGTATATGACACAAGATAACACACCCCCTGGACCGATTTTCAAAGCTCGATTACTCCACGACGAAGAGGATGCATAAACGAAACAATACATTTTCGAAAATCTCTCGACGAGACGGTTCCAACGCCGCCGTTTTCGGCGCTGTGACTCTTCCTGCTGTTGAGAAATCGAGCTTGGAAAATCGGCCCAGGGGGTGTGTTATCTTGTGTCATACACGGTATGTTCTTGGATCACCCTTGCCGAGGTGCTCTCTTTACTCCATTCCGGAGGGATGCCTTGTATTCTACCACATATTCGCCTTCGACGCTGCTGTACTTCGCAATTTCCCAATGCGACTGCTTGTGAACACACACGTGCTGCACATTATTGGCTCAAGTTGCCGCCACTTGTTCGAGACAAACTCGCAGTGGTTGGCTGCAAGAGTCTCACGGTCGCTCATGCATTTACCGGGCGGCGGGGTGATAATTGCGGTCGCTTTGACATCCTCGTCGTTACTGGCGAACCCTCAGAGCTCCAAGAGGAACAGCATACGGTATATGCATACAATATACGGAGGAGGCGTTCCCTCTCCATTTCCGAGAAATGAGCAAGGACAAGAAAAGAAAAAAAAAAGCGGCTCCTCGTCGTTCGGGATGAAATTTCGCCGAATAAAAAATACTCAAGTGGAGTAGATAACAATATGGGGGTGTTTGATTGATTTAATTAATTAATTGTTTTTGGGTTTGGGGAGTACATATCGCCTTGGAACCTATTTACTCTCTTGTTCCCGGTATGGCAGGGTCGAGGGCCTTTGTCACACCACCCACCCTCTTTTATCGAAGCCATGAGTGAGTGTATGTCCATCCCTTCTGGGCGATTAGGGTGTCGCGCACCGATCACTCTCACGTAATAAGAGTGTAAGGGTTCTCTCCCGTTTGTTTGCGTCCGCCACAGGCGTTACTCCGCGTTCCACCCCACACAGCAAATAATGCCTCCTTAGCCCCGGATAGCGCTCGTATTGTAACAGATCCTGCCCCGGGCTTCATGAAAGGTGGATACTGCTGCGTGATTTCTTTCCCTACACCTCCCTCTCGGCCGGTGCTGCACCAACGAAAACAAACGCCACAGACAGACGAGAGCACTTGTTTTTTTGGTATTTTTTTTCATCACTCGATTTCATTCAGCGCTCACAGCATTTTCTGCCGGTAGGAGCTCAAACCCATCGTCACACAGAAGAACGTGAGTCCACCTACCCAACCCCTCCTGCGGCGGTTGCGTTTGATTTTTGAACCCGAGAAAGTGTAGCACACTGCTGTCTTTTCCCTCTCGAAGTTTGCAAACGAAAAGCGCTTTCCACAGCCAGGAACGGAAGCGAGAGATTCGAGGGCGACAAAATCTTGCGCCATCTCATCTCCCACCCGTGCGAGAAGACACACCGAACGACTAAAGAACACTTACAACACGAGAGCGGCCACCGGTCGAGGCTTTGGGTCCGTTCGCCGTTTTTCCCTTCGCTCCACGCCCCAACCCTCTCCCACGCAAGAACTGCGCCAAACGACGCAACCCATCACACGGCAAAAGTAGCCAAACCAAGCCGAGCATTCCCGACGTTGGGGTGGGAGTCGTCATCGTCGTCAACTCTCCCTCCCGAGAGCGAACCAAAACGAACAAGTCGGGGAGTATCTAGAGACATTGCCGGCTTCATGTGTGTGTGGATCATGTATAGTCTACGTACATATGAACTGCTCCGACCTTCATCAGAAGGAAGATGTAGAGAGGTTCTACTTTTCCCAGAAAAAAGTCGCGCGGGCGCCTGCGCACAACCGACAATGTTAAAACCTATACCCCGCAAGTGTTGGACTCTTACGACGAAAAAAAACAAGGGACGCGAAAGACGTCAAATGTTTGCTGCTGGTGCTGCTAAATCGCCGCAAAGAAGTTTGGTGCGACGAAAATGCGCCGTCCACTGCCAACAGCAGTCAAGCGTTTGCCGCCGCCCAGTCTTCCAACCATTCTCGATTGCTCCAGTCCAGTGGGGCAACACCAACGCCCAGATCATCCCGCCTTCAAGTTCGGAGGGCGGTACGTACACGCGTGGGCCGTGGAAGGGAAGTCAGGGACGCGGAAAACTTGGGGCGCGCGTTTGCGACGAAGGAAGAGCAGGGGTTCGACTGATTGAGTGCCGCATGAGGCTAACGTACGGCATCGGGGAGGCAACCGACAGAGAGTAACGCCGGACATGGTCGGTCGATGCCCGGGCAGCCGTGGTAGGAGTACGTCGGCAATAAAGAAGGGGGGGTACATGGACAAGAAAAGGGCCACGGTTGTTTTGTATGCGGCACAGCAGACTGTGAACGGTGGGCTTGACAATGAGCTACGACCTAGCTTGTTTCCTGGGTTTGTGGCGAGACCCATCGAAGCAAACAGACCCGATCGTGTTCCGTCACCAACAACAACGACTTCACGACGACGACAATATCATCGAAATCACAACCACGAACATGACCAAAATCAAGCTGGAAGACACTCTTTGACTACATCAAGCCGACGCAAACGATGCAACAAAGGCGCGCACCGGCAGATACCATTCCCCCCTCTCTCCAGGTCACAACGTTACTCACCCTGACAGGTCGACGTAGTCGATGAGCGGTATCGGGATCGTCGTTGTCGCTTTGAGGCTGGACCAATCAGCGAGCGGAGGGCCGCGGTCGGTGGGACGAATTGCACACGATGATTAGCACCAGAAAAATTGATGGAAGGTCGGGTCGAGGAGAAACGGCTGCGGCTGACTCGAGGTATGTACAAGAGTGAAAGCTCGAAAAAAGAAAGCGGAGAAATACTCCCCGAAGTCTGGCTTCGCTCGCAGTTCGTGAAAAGACAACGGCACCAGCGGACACCAACACACGCTGTCCATCCAGAGACCGACGTCTTGTCATTGGTAAGGCGGTGAGAGCCGTAAAAATGCTAGCGGAATAAAACCACACACACACACACACACACACACACACACACACACACACACTGCTTTGCATCCCGTTTACCTATGTACGTGTAGGGATGCAAGGTACTACGTACATGTACGGACTTAGCTGCCTAGGTCAGGCCAGCCGGTAACCGTGGCCAATTTCACTCGAGAGACCACAGCGACAGCTCATTTCCCCACCTGCCGAGAAGCACCGCGAGTGCCCAGGCGGCTAGGCCCAAGCTCCAGTAACGGTCTTCCCTGGCGAAGTCTAGCGCCCCGGTGGAGAACAACAGTCCCGCCCACACCCCCGCCAAGTGCCCGACGAAACTGTCAGAAAAAAAAAGAGATTTGAGGAAAAAAAAAAAAAAATGGTTTCAAATAAAAGCGGGTGGTGGTGTCTTCAAAACAGGGTCCCATTTCCCCAGCGCCTGTACGTCCGTCGAGGATGGTTTACATCCTCTCTGCGCAATGGCGTCGACGGTCGACAAATAACATGAAGAACAAGAAGAGTACCAAAAATAACACCTTGTTTTCGCATGGGGTCATTCATAAATGCATAGGACTTATGGTGTGAAGAATATGGATGAGCAGACCACGATGAGCAAGACGGAGCATGCGGAGAACCACTCCAAGAATAGCAACAAACTTCGTGAAGGCGTTGTCTCGTCGTTGTTTCCGACAACACTGACGCATACTGATTGCCCAGGCCCATTGGAGCGGCAGACAAATACCGGGGAATCACCCCTCCCCACCACACCCCCACACCCCCAGCCACCCCTGAAAAATTGAGCGATACGATAAATAGAGGGGTGTTGCCTCTCGACAGGGATGGTGAGGGACCAATGTTACGAACAATTCAAAACCGCAGCGACAGTGACACACGCGCCCCCTTCCTCCCCTCCTCCGGTTCCCGTTGGCCTCCTTGGCCCCAAGCAACAAACAAAGTTGTGCAAAGTTATGCATACAATCACGTAATCCTCGCGGGCAGCACACGTCCACACAACCAAGTACGGATACACCCACCGACGCGCTCACACGCGTGCGTTTTGCCAGCACCACCAAACACCGACTGTATAGAGCAAAAACAAACAAACAAACAAAGACACAGGATCGCCCGTGATCGGCCTAGGATGGTGCTCCCGCCGCGTTTGTCGCGCGCGCAAAAAAAAAACACACACACACACAGCAGGATAAAAACAAAAAACATGGAAAATGTACCTTGATTGGCGTATCAGAATTCGGACAACCACCAAATTCAAGACGACGCTCGCGAAACCGCTGAACACGAACCCCCCGATGACTCGCGCCGGCTGTTTTTTTTTTTCACCGAAAAAATATGAGTCCCGCACCAAGAGCGCAACCAGGGGGGCAAGAAACAGGCATCAAAAATGAGCAACAGGGCATGGCACAGAGGAGAGTGGGGGGCAACGCGCGGATGCGGGGGGCGGGAGGAGAAAAACCTAGACACCAAAAACACGAATAACGATGAACGATGTTGCTACAAACACCACACCTCCGTGGGTAATGTGTTACGACGGCTGACCCCAACACGCGGCGCACGTCAAACGATCGGCCGGTGTATACGTGCGAGTTTCGACGCCGATTGCTGGATATAGATGTGGCGCTCGACGGATAAGCGCGCTCGCAAGAGGTAAGGGTAACCCCAGGGTAAGAAAAACAACATATCGCGAACAGAACGAACACGTGGCGGACCAAGGCTCGTCCTTGTTAACCGCTCTGCTGCTGCTGCTGCTGCTACTACTGCTGCAGGGTAACAACCACCGGATATCTCCTGAACATTAAAAAAAAAAGGCAGCAAGAGCGCTTGGGGGTGCGGACCATCATACGTACGCGACCCAGCCTATCATGCGTGCGACGCTGTCAACGACGACAAAAAACAACAACAACAACAACAACAACAACAACAAGTCCCCCAAGCCCTCGTTTTTTTCTCACCGCGTCTGGCCTCAAGGAGAGAACCACTATCCACGCGAAGACGACCCCGGAATATCCGCACGAAACCTCATCGCTTTGTTTTGTTTGTCGTTCCGGCGGCATTGAGGGTTGGTTCATCCCCACGCCAAGATTGTGGTGCGTTGTTGTCCGGCGGGAAGGTTTCGCAGGGGAGCGAAAGGGAAGAAGGCGTTTCGATTAGAATCGGTGGCGAGGTGGGGGTGGCGTCTTACATGGTGTTTATTGCTTGTCTTGCTCTCGCTCTTGGCACCACTCATCCTCGTGGTCTCCAGTCGAGACAGAAAGAAGACACATGATCTTCGATCGAAGGTAGCCGCTGCGACGCACGCAAGCGACGGCTGCAACCGTATTTAATGCCCAGAACAAATTGTTCGTTGCGAACGTCAAAATTCACCCCCCCCCCAGCTTCTCAAAGACGTGGCCGTGCGGCAGGAACAAATCTACGTGATCTCCGACACGAAATCTCCGCCAATTCTCTCTGGGAGAGAGAACTGTCACTCTTTGAGAGTAGGGTTCGGCTGCCGTACGTACCACACGAGTTCAGCTTTCGTCACAATAACAAGCTGCTTGAGATGGTTCCTCGGCCCCTCCTGAAGGCTTGTCTCTGCCCCTCTTGTCTTTTGTTTGGGTCGTCAAGAAAAACTTCGAGGCGCGGTCATCTTCGGCCTTCCTCTCAGCGACCAGGGCACTCGGCGTGCGCCTCATCATCAGAGCGTGACATGAATGTACCAATGTCCTCTGTGGCTGATGGTATTGGTGATAGTTTGGTGACTGACGTGACGAACAACATAAAGCCATTACCCCCCCCCAAAAAAAAAAAAGACTTCCCCTATAGCCCCATCGAAACAGAAACACTCTACAGAACATAACAGCACAACTGCTATTGCACATCCATCTGCCGCTCGGACATAGTACTTAGACACAGCTTGTTACGTCTGAACGAGCCGGACGAGATAAGTGCAAATCAACACCGTTGTTGTTGTTGTTGTTGTTGTTTTTGTCTTCACAAATAAAAGCCACTCAACGAAAAGTAAACTATAGCCTGATCGCAATCTTACCCCAAACAAGGCAAATACTAAACTAGCAAGTAGCATTGCAACTGACCATAGATATGTATGGTCCAGCGCGACAGCCTTGTACATCGAATAATTGAGAAAAAAAGCACAACAAGGAACAGCTAATAAAGTAGGACTGCTGCCAGACGAAATTTGCCAGCGAAAACACGTCGAGACTCACACAACGCGGCCGGTTCTAAGCAGGACGTGCATGAACATCTTCTCGAACACCTCAGCGAGGACAACGAAGTGCGCCGAAGCTAACAGGTAACCCCAAGAGCCAAGCTCCGTCTCAATCCTCCTGAGAAGCCCAGCCAATCGTTTTCGTCAAGGAGAGCAAAAGAAGGGGCAGGGGGGGGGGGGGCAGGGTGAAAAAAAACAGGAAAGGGTGAAAAAAACCCACAAACACCCCCCACATTCCGCGAACAAACGCACTCCCGTTTCCCGCCTGCTTCGTAGTGCTTGTGCAGTGTTCTTCTCCTTGAAACTAGAAACGAGAAAGCCAAAACATCCAGCGAGGCCACACAGCCGGTGGAATCCGCGGGAAAAAAGGGCATGGAAAAGGTTGACAAGCCTACAGTGGAGCGCAACGGATAACGATACAACGGCGAAAGAAAAAACCCACAACGACACAAAAAACGACGCAACAAAAGCCTTAGCAAGCGCTTGGAAACCAACCCCGCTATCAAAGAGCAGTAACACACTCACCTGCAGGACCAGAGGGAGGAAATGCTGAACGCGAGGTGCAGCAGCCCGCCGTGAGCGACGGCGGCCGTCACCACCCGCCACCATTCCTGCCGCACCAAGAGGTTCCGGTAGCTCGACCCCATCGAGGCCGCCGACACACGCCTCCTCCACATCGCAAGGAAAACCTGCAAATTTCCGCCGCAGGCGCCGTTTGGGGTTTGTGTCGTAGAGGGGGGGGGGTCTGCGTGAGATTCCATCATCGTTGTCGTCGTCGTTTTCACATTTCGGGTTGTTCGAGGTAGATCATCAGACACACAAGGGGCGTTTGGTTGTTCGATCGTGTCCCCTTGGGAGACACGGGAGCGGTGATATCGTTATTGAAACAACACAGAACATCAACGAATGGTCACCTATATTGGCGTCTTTATTAGATGCCGTAGACCTTTATCGCGTAAAGGAACGATGTGCCCCACACAGAACATGAACGAATGGTAATCTGGCTTCTTGTCAGATTCCGTAGTGCGGAACTATGTGCCAGGCTGGTATTTTAGAGAGAAAAGCGTTGGAGAGCTGACGCAAAAGTAACATGAGTCCTTGCTTACAGAATATCAACAACACCGGGGGGGGCTGATGCAGTGGCCTCCCAAATTGTACCGGCCATGGATCCACGAAATCGCTTGCTGTGCCACTGCTGAAGCCCTGCCCGACGGAGTATATAAAAATACCAGTTGGAGCGCGTTGGGTAGCAACAAAAAGTCCGTTGGTTGAAAAAAGTCCCTTGCTTGTCTCACCGGCATTTAGGTAAGTAGTTTGTTTGATCCTCCGCACACCCTACTCTCAAACCAAGAGAAATATTTCCACAGGCTCACTGTAGTTTCATGACAAAATACAGCCGACACGGCGGGGTCTCCCAAGAGATTATTTTGCCCAATGGTCGGAGTGCCGACCCAAAATCCCCTTGTGCCTGTTATAAGAGGGCAGCATGGAGCAGGTAGGTGCGCGATGGTACGCTCAGATATGCTGGAGACTTGGATTGCTGTCGCCGGCTGCAGCTGCGGCTCGAAAGGTCCGCAACACATGGGCCCAAAACATTCATCCTCTACTTGAACTGCTGCACTTCCGCCTTCGCAGACCCAATCTACCGAAGACTGAGGGCGGACAGGAAGTATCATATCTCACACCACCATGTAGCTGCCTTTGACGATCCCGCAGTGCAGGGGACTGGGGATGAATCAATGATTTGGGTTGGATCCAGAATTAATTGCGGAATTTTTTACCTGGCTTGTGATTTTCGGTAGTATCAAGTAGCATGCATACGGCCTCAGCAGTAAAATCTGAGAGTGTCAACGTGCATGTTGCTGGTCCGCGATGTCCTCTGCTCATGTGGTACTGACGGTCGGGACTCCGTGAGCCGGGAGTTCGTTCTTAGTTGTCTACAGCAGTAGACATCTACAGCTGGAGACAGACCCAATTACTGAACAACCACTTTGCATACCGCCGCAACTTACGCCCGACGCTCGCCAGCAACATCAACATCGACTTTATTTGCCGCATACCCAAATAGTGCCAGCAAAACATTGCACACCAAAGGTGTTCCGCGAGCTCAACAGAGTGTGTGATACGCAAGCTAAAGCTCCATAGAACGGGTTGATAAGCAATATACGTACAGAAATCCGTCGCAGGAGGGAAATGGCGGATTCTCCGATCTCAACGCGGGGTTTGTGTAACTTTATGTATGCATCCTCCCATATGGAATGCTTGCACTTTGCGCAAAGCTTCTTCCCGTACTGACCGTCACGAGCACAGCGGACAGAACACAAGTAGCCGGGTAGGTCGGTAGCTGCTCCGAGAGCGGACGGGCGTCCGACCAAGCCGCAGCTGCTGCTGCGGCGGCTGCTTCTCGCGGCGCTCTCTGTATTACGTTCCCCCCCATCATCCCGTCTCCTCCGCCGGCCTCAGCAACACCAGGTGCGCCCAGCTCTGCCTCCATATTCCGCGATATCACAGTAGCGGTGGCTGTGGCATTGGCCAGGGGGCATGCCTCTACTTGCGCGCCAGCTCGAGCTGCGAGAGCACCGCTGTCGCGGGTTGTGCGAGTGAGTGTACAGCGCACAGCACAGCACGCACAGCGTGCAGCACAAGAGAACAGAGCAGGTCGTTTTTTTTGTCTTTTTCAGCATTGGTTCGCACCCGTATATGGTGTCCCTGCCTTTGTTGACGGACCCCCCACGAAGAGTTCCACCTCCGCCGTTGGTTTGTGCGGCGTTTTCTGTTGCAGGGCACGACTTTCTCGTGAAACGTCACCGAATTCACCGCGAAAAGCATGTTCATCTGGTCCGGTTCTCGGTTCTCCGCTCGGGCAGCAGAGCAGTAGACTATTGGTGGGGCTAGACTAGTAAGCTATTGATGGGGCAGGCATGTGCCATCCCATAAACGAGGCAGACGATTGTATGTAAATTCTTGGATGCCGAGACACACGCTATCGTCTCGCCGTGCCGGTCAAAGTTAGAGAGAGGAACAACAGCGGACGTCATCATGTTTACAACCCAGCCGGTTTCTCCGCTACCACCGTTGAACAACGATGATTCCCCTACGCAGCACCAAAGGGGTTCGTTCAACTCACTTGCGGCCTTCGGGGGTGCCTCTCCAGTGCCGGCAAACCGCCTATTCGAGGCGAAAGCGGTAAACCTTGTGCCCAGGCCGAAGACAAGCATGTCTCATACCCGCCAGTTGTCGTCGTCGGCTTCTCCCGGCCTTTTCCTGGCCTCTTCGTCGCCGTTACCCTCCTCGCCAAACGGGGACCAGCCGGCGCCGAGGTAACCATAATATGCATGTCTACGGTAGTATTGCTGGAAGTTTCTGTGCGGGCTAAACACTGCTGTGGTCATGCTGAGCGAACTGGGTGTTCACTGGTACCTCGCCGCATATGCGTAGAACGCGTAGAACGAGTCGAACGTCTGGCTGTGTGTAAGCAACCAGGAGTGCCTACACTGTACAGCACTTAAAGCGTAGCAAGAGCCGAACAAATAGGTAGAGAGTGCGTGATTAGGCTGGTATGTACTAGTGATACGATAGCTCAACATACTGTATGTAGATACGTGGCTACGTCTCACTACCGCTGCGCCGTTTCTACGTTCCCTCTGGCCTTGGCGTCTCACAAGGAAGGGCGAACCCAAAAAGGCATTCTTCTGCGGCTCATCCTTTCATTGTCAACGCGAGACAGGTTCAACCTACATGTAGTGAACACCAGCCACGTACTCGTTCCTAAAACCTGCAGCCGCGTTCCACATACTCACCCAGGCACGGCAAGGACATGGCGAGACAGAAAGAGTTTTCGGCAAGCGAGCAACACTATCAACAGCCGAAGCGCGTGAATAGCGCCAGTGCACATGGAGAACTAGATCGATCGAGCAGCAGCAATAACAACAAGCAGCTGTCATCGGTCGCCGCCCCCACCGCCGAGACAGTACCCAGATGGTCGTCCTCGCGCGAAGGCCACACCAGCTCTGCCAGCGCGCCTGTAACAGCGGGAATGGATTCGCCCGAAACGGCCGCGCCGACCTCACCTCAACAGCACCACCAAAACACGAACACCCATCACAACAACAACAGCAACAGATCACGTCGGAGCGATTCTGGTCGTGGCGGAAACGCAGGCTCCGCCTTTTCCATACCTCGTAGCGACTCCCTAGGAAGCGCCCAATCTCAACCTAGGGCTCAAACCACCAGCTCCTTGAGGCGTAGCAGCAGTAGCACCAGCGAGACGTTCAGCAACGGTGGTCGCGGCTTCAAAGGGGGCAATAGCGCCAGTAGCGCAGGAGCTTCCGTCGCGTCGAGCAACGATCCCAATGTTCTGAAGGTCGAGATTAATCGGCTGCAAGCGGCGCTCATGAACGGGTTCAAGGGCGGGAATCGGTTCGTAGGCGGCGCGCAGTTCAAGGGCTCAAATTCAAGCCGAAATGGTCAGCACGGCGGTGGCGGCGGGGGGGCGGGGGGGAAATCCTGTGGCGGGTGTCTGCAGGTTTGTGGGTTAGGCGTGGAGTTTGGACAATGCGGAATAGCTCGTAGTTGACGTGGCGTAGGCATGTTGGCACACTCTACGGGGCTTAGAAGCACCCAAGCGAATAAACGCCACATTTTTTTGTTTTCAGGGAAGAGGGTGGGTGGGGAGGGGCTGCTGCTCGATCGGAGGGGGGTATTGCTGCTCCAGCATAAGGTACTGCGCTGTAGGTGGACGGTATGGCCTGGTATAAGAAGGGGTGACTCTTTTCAATAGGCCATAACTCAATGTACCGTCCAAATGAAGACACATATTCGAAGCGTTTGCCGGAGAATCCCCGCTACGACCAAATTTGGTTGGTATCTGCGCGGAAAAAATTAGACTGCGGTACCAAACGACTGCAAATGTTCCGTCAACCCGGTGGTGTGATTACCTGATAGGGTGGGGAGGAGAGCGTTTCCAAGCTTGCACGAACGCCCGATGCTTGGATTCTAGCGCACTCGGCCTCTCGAACGAAACGCGAAAGCCATCGAACAACACCTAATTGCAGGTGCGAGAGGCGCTGCGTCGGTCCCGCGTTGAGTGCCGGGACCTGAGGGGGTCGCTCTTCCGGGCAGAGCACGTGATCAAGCAGCTGACTTTGACCAAGGCCACCCGACGGCGAGGGCCGAACCAAAGTGGTAACTACACGGCTCAGCTCGGCCTTCAACTATCTTTGTCGTCACCATCATTAGCAGGAGGAGCAACAGCAGCAGCAATAACAACAACATCTGGCGAGCAGGAACGGAGGTTGGTTCCCCAAATGCTGACCACCAGTGCCGGTTGTGGTGGCGAACGAGGGGGGAGCAGTTCAAGCAGCCGGAACGATGGGCATGCCGGCGAAGCGCCGTCTCGCGAAAATCTCTTGTCCAGGGTGCGGGAACTGGAGCGAGAGCTTCGCCTTGCCGATTTTCGGGACGCGAGGAGCTTGGGGGCGGCTGTAGGAGCAGAGCATAGTCGCGCACGGAAGAACAGCATGGACGATGAGGTGTGGCGAAAATCTCTCGTACCGTGGCACTCTTCACCGCCTCAAATCGTGCGCGCCAAAGACTAGGACAGCTTTTCGCGAGAGAATGAAGCACTTGGATCAACAAGCATTTTCCCCGACACACAGTAGTCAGTTACTGATTTGTTTTCCAACTGGAACATGACGAACATTGAGGCAATCGGGGAGCCTGACTCGAACCCTGTGGTTCCCAAAAATCCGGCGCCTATATTATTACAATGAAGCCCGACCGTTGCGACAACCGGCTCGCTTTTTTTACCCGAATGGCAGGTGAACCTCAACAAAAGCGACAGTGACCACGATGCTAATTTTTCGCCATCGAAATCACCCTCGTCGGCATCGTTGAGGAGGGCGCTGGGGAAAACGAGCGGCACTGGCAGCAGCAGTAGTAGCGGGGTGTGGGATTGGGAGGGTCCGCCTCCGTGCCGAAAGTGCTCCGTGTTGAACGATCGGCTGCTGGGCGAGGCGACCAAGGTTAACGGGCTGATGAGGCGGATTCAAGAGCACCAAGAAGAGGTGGGCGATCCTAAGGAGAGACGGATTCAAAAACACAGAAGAGGGTGGTGGTGGTGGTGGTGGGGGCTGTAATGGGAGCGGGTGGCACAAAAGCACGAGCAATGCACGAGGAAACCTTTCAAGAAGTATGTATTAACATCATTAGGCGTGATTAGGGTGGAACATCTTTGTGAGAACACCAGCCAGACTAGGTGAGCGATGTCTGAGCTGGTACGTGAGGCTTAGGGAAGCATGCCCTGGAGTACGGACAACAACCGTAGGTGCACATGCAGAAGACATCACACCCCCTGGGCCGATTTTCAAAGCTCCATTTCTTGGCAGGATGAACAGCGACGGTGCTGAAAATGGCGGCGTTGGAACCGTCGCGTCGAGAACTTTCCGAAAATGTATCGTTTGCTACAATCGGCATGCTTTTTGCCGTGGAGCAATCAAGCTTTGAAAATCGGCCCAGGGGGTGTGGTATCTTCTGCAACATACAGTAGCTTGGTCTTGGCCAGGGCATACCGTCGGCGAAAAAGTGAACGGGTGCACAGTTTCTCATGAGATGTTTGCAAGAAAGGCACACAAGGCCTTGCGCATACGCACGTACGGGCCAGCGAACACCAACGAGAGGTGAGCTGAAGGTTCTGACGAGAGAGCAGGATTGCTACTCGGTGGAGAGGGTGGCTGCTTTGAATTGAGGCGGGTTGAAGAAACCTCCAGCGCGAGGTGGGTGAGTGTTTTTTCATGGGAGACAAATCCGATAACGCCGATTCTGCTTGTCGGTGTTCACACACATGTAAGGAATCCAAAGACAGAGGCGGGAAGATTGGCTTGGTATGCTACGGACGGCATCGAAACCGGTAGTACCAGTGGGACGTAGAGCTTCGAAGTTTTTGTTCAGATTATTGCTTCAACAGGAGTAACCGCAATCGCAGAGTGAGGCACATTCGAAGACGAAGAGTACGATCTATAGATGCCACACTGAATCACGAAAACACGGAAATACGTCCTAAGGCTTGTTTGGATGGCGATGACCACCATGTGCCACGACATCGTTCCCACGCAAGACCCATGAAAAACAGGGGTGGTAATTCATGTATTTCCACACAACAACAATATTCTTCTCAGTCCGCCTGTGTTCGATGGTTTGGACTATACCCCTCGCACTAAAACCCCTCAAACCGAAGCAACAGCAGACGTCCGCGGCGCGTTCACTGCCTATAGTGTTTATCCGTCGCTGCTTTCTCGACTTGTGAACAGTCTTTTCACATTTATGCAACCAAACTATTAAGCTACAAGTCAGCGCTGACATGTAGCAAGGTGGATATGCTGCACGCCTTAACAGAAACCAATCGACAAGAACACACGTTTTGGAGGCAACGGCGGTATACATCCAAGCGCCGAAGCAGACTCACTCTCGCCGTTACCCCCCACCCGGCCCTGTCGTGCAGTCACTAGCGCTCTGGCCACACGTGCGCTCAAAAAAGTATTTTCCTCCGACGACATTTTCCCTCTAAACTGTGAAAAGTCGAATTTCAAGACCTGCGTGGTGAAACATGCCCTTAACGTGCACCCCAAGGAGGCTGTCGCAAGCTATAGACCTCCGCGCGTTGAATGAAAAGGTTTGGCCCCCCACTGCCTTACGAAGCTGACCCCGCCCCGGTTTTCTCGCCTACTCCGTTTCATCGCCGCCACGGAAAACAAACCCACAGCTCAAACGCCTCCAGGGGGAAATTGTTAGGACCAGCGGCGCACACGCAAAGGCGATCGAGATGCAGGAGAAAGTGGACGCGCTCACGAGTCAAGCGGAAGGGCAGACGAGGGCGAAGGAGAAGGCCGGGGCCGAGGTATTCATCTGTAGGGCAGAAAGTATGGAGTTCACAACCGAGTGTATTACGCTGCCTTGAAGTCTTACTGTGCTTTCAGCAACGTGAACCTAACCCATTCACCTGTTCTATAATAAACACGGCAGCTCTTTTCCCATCCCCCCCCTCATCTCCCTGCGCGTCTCTCTGGCCGCCAAGCCAGGCGACAATCGTGTAGACTCGATTGGTTTACATGGTGTTGAGGGCGAAATATCGTGCATGCGTATGCATAATATATTTGGTGTGTTTGCGCGGGTGCTGCTTCAATTGCCACTTTATGGTTGAGGGAATTGTCTACTAATCCAACACGGCGCCAGACGATACAGGCCATGTCACCAAAGGGGACCCTGCACCGCTGCGTCCTGAAGCCCAGACAAAAAACGCCCAGACAACCAAAGGACAGAACATAAAGAGGAAAAATCGCCCCCTCGCATATGTAGCACCGACCAACTCGGTCGATTTCCTGGTATTGAACCCCGCATGCGAGCTGAACAACAACCTGCACCAGTGCAAAAAGGGAAGCGGATGAGGAAGGGAGGGAGAGTTTTCCTCTCCCCAAAGCTCCGGGCTTCCCTCTAGTCCTCTCACCAACAGTGGCACCCTTGCCGTTCATGTGACTCTAGTGGGAACCCCAGAGGCACGAACAGTAACAACCCACCGAGAACCTTGCTTGACGCAGAGCACAGACACAAACAGAGAGGATACACAAGCATCTTCTTGCCGGTTTTTGAACGACTGTACCTGAAGTCCAGACGCTAATGAATATAGTGCTTTCGAAGCAGTCATGTTCTGGAGGAAACCCGTGATGGTTAATGCACCCAGCTGCCACCGTTCGGCCGCGAACAATCGATTCCTTCCGTAGATGGAGCGGCTGGTCGCCGACCTGGACCGCACGAGAACCCAAGCCACTGAACACGAGGGACAGGTGAGGGCGTGCGGGCGCGGGGGGGGCGGCGATTTTCAGTGTTCCCGAGAGCGTACTAAACGCGTTCTGTTCGAGAGATGCAGTTCTGTCCTGCGTGTGCCACACTTGCTCGCCCTTCGAGTACGTTTGGGTCGGGTGCTCGCTCTGTCGGGGGACCGCTCTCCCCTGAACGGACCCGAGAGTTGGACCGCGTATCAAACCCGTGTTTATGCAAAGGCTTACACATTAGACCACTCAGTCAGCGCAGGTTAGCTAACCCATTAGACCGCTCAGTCAGCGCCGTTTATTCAAAGGCTTACCCATTAGCCCACTTAATCAGCGCAGATTTGCGCTGACTGAGTGATCCAACGGGTCTTGCTTGTGGAAACTAATGTTGGTGCCTCAATAGTGTCCCAGCTTGGATTCGAACCGACACTCACAATTCTTGGTGTTTACAATGGTTTACACAGTAAACCTCAAACCCACCAAGCCCGAAGCTCGACGACCTTCATCATCTCTCCACAGAAAACATGTTGCCCGAGCTCTCTGAACCTTACACCTCGGAACTTGGTTTCTCTGCTCACAAGAGGTCAAACTCGGGGTAGGATAGGTGCGCGAAGGTTCGAACGATCTTACGTTAATGTTCACAACACTTTAATTCCATGGGTGGGTACAGGCTCGGAGAGCGTTGGAGCAGCAACAGGCGTTGCAGGATGAACTGTTCTCCAAGGAAAGCCTCCTGGGACAGGCGGCGAAAGAGCTCGAAACCGCTCGGGCCGCCCTCGAGTCCGAGAGGGCCTCGCGAGAGCAGACGGATCGCACAGTGGTAGCCCTGCGGAGGAAGGTGGCGGGGGAGAGGGCCGGCGCCGGCAAGACCAAGGGGGAATTGGCGGCAGCAAAGGCGGCGCGGAGGCACTCGGAATCGCAGGCGAGATGATCGAGAGAGAGAGTTTTACCTTGCTGGCTGATATAGACTAATGCCGGGGACTAAAAAAGGAACCGTGCGAAAGTCAGCAGAGTGCGGGAATGATGAAATTTGGCAAACATAATATGTATCAATAACACACGAGAAGGAGGCTAGGGGTGAACGTAGCGCTTGTGGAAGGAGCGTGCCGGCCCTCGGGATCACAGCCAATAGCACCCCTGCTGTAGAACGTACCGGTTTCTACAGTACCCCCAACTTATCTGGCGACGCCCTTCTCAGCAACAACGGTCTCGACAACAACGCGGGAGACGAAAGAGTGGGCCGTTCGCAACAAACCAATACCAAGCCTTCCTTAGCTCCCTCGAAAAATCGGATACCTCGAAGCAAACTCACCCGCTGGAACCCCCCCAACACTCACTCGTACACCTGGCCCCCTCTCCGCCGTCGTTTAGGCGGCTGCCGCGGACGCGACTCACCGAAAGGCCTTGAAAGCCGCCCTCAACAACTGCGTTCGCCTGTGCGTGGTAGCGCCTACCGTCAACATCAACCTGGACGACCGCAGCCGCTCCTTCTGCTCCGGCCTCCCGGAGGAAAGGATCCGCGCGTTCGTGGAGGAGTCGGTGCTGCCGCGCTTCACCCGCGTCCTCCTGCAACCGGGGTCCGAAGGAGGCTCGGCGCCACCGGCGCTGCCGTCGCCGTCGGCAAGCAACAGCAGCAGTGGCCGCGGCGGTGGCGTCAGGGTTCCCACCAAGGGTGCTAGGATTCCTCCGACCGCATCCGTGTCCCTGTCCTCGCCCTTGAATCGCACCAGCACTAGAAGCGGCAGCGACAAGAAGAAACTTGGGGCGGCATCATCTCCGGTTGTGATGCCCACGGCGGCGGCGGCGGCGGTCGATGACCCAGCCGTCGACCACCAAGAAAGCTTGGCACAGAGCGAGGATGAAGACAAGCGCGACGTTGGGGGCGGGGGTAGCGGCCGGGGTGCTGGCCAGGGACAGGGTGACTTCGACAAGTGGCTGAGAGACCTACTCGTTGATATGCAGACGTCGATAGAGAGGCACGTGGCGAGTGTTTTCCAGACCCAGACGGCGGCGACCGCTGCCGCCGTAGGTGGTACCGCGAGCGGGGGCACCTCGAGCTTGAGGCGGTAAAGGGAAGGCAGGAAGAAACAACGGTTGTGTTAGGGGCATGGGGAAAGTGACATCTGTGCACGAACGGCGTCAAGCTGAGTAGCATACTCCGCCACCGATTTTAAGGCTTTTGCTTCACTGCTTTCGGTTGCGCGGCAGCCTGAGTGTGTATAACCAAAATCCCGAAAAGTAGTCTTGGAAGTACCGATGTACATGGCCTCTCGTTGTGTCGCTGAAACCTCGTCGTGCCCGCATCTTTTGAGAACGCGTGCAGGAAATGGTGATATGGAATTACTTGGGGGAACAAGGTAAGGGGTTGAGGTTTTCCCGCCCTTGTAGGCGTGTAGGAAAACCTAATAGTCAACTGGCATCGAGAAGTGCCGTTCCGGGGGGCGGGCGTTGTAGTACGAAGATATCTTCGTTAGGTTAGCCCTGCACGTTCACCCGCACGGTATCTCTTGGAATCCGTGCGCCCCTACGTCTGCAGTATGGGGGCGTCACAGCAAGCAGCCACAGTTTTTGGCTTTCTTCTCTCTGTGGAATAAGTGGGTATTGATCCAAGTACGTTGTAGTTGTTGTTTGACCCACCCGCGAGTTTTGTGTTCTTGTTCAATAGCCATGTCGAACCACACTATGTAAGGAAACAGTATGCAACAACAGCCACGAATTTGCGAACGGCATGCACAGCGGCAGTACAAAGTTACGTACGCAAATCTCTGGATGTGTACGGGATATCCTCCCTGTTTTTAGATCCGTTGAGCAGCATATAGCACAACTATTCCGGATGTCGTTCACACGTAAGGTACATGGATTCTTGGCCTGTCGGTTTGAACGCGCCAACCGCAAGTCCAAACTCGTGTTTTCCAGGGCATCACTCATGTATGAACCTCGCTGAAATTCCTTCCCCGTCCTACACGCAGTAGTCGAATTCTCCATTCATTTTTTTTCCTCTAGGAGACCGTTACGGTCTCTAGAGTTCTCACAGAACGGCAGTAGGGGGCCCGATATAAGGCGGTGTAGTGCGTGGTGAAGGAAACCGCCTTATATCGGGCAGCCGCCTTATACGTTTATAATGCGGTAACCGCCTTACACACGGTCTGAGATTGGCCCAATAGGGCGGTGACCGCCTTATTTAAGACAAATGAAGAAATGAGGTTTCAGCGTATTGGGCATCACCTCACGGCGCGTCGCTGAGTGGAAGAAATGGTCACGCGTCATGCATTCACGCGTGTAGAACGAGCAAGATTGCTTGCAATTGTTTGAGTGTTGTTTGCAGCGGTATGTACGTGTACATCTGATGCCGTACGACCTGTACAGCAGAATGTACATCTGCATCCAACAATACCGCCGCACAAGGCTCTTGTAGAGTAGACGAAAAACGTGTCCAAACCAAAGTATGTGCGCGCGCCAGAGTGTTGTTTCAACTTCAAGCGGTGATCAAATGGGACTACGGCTCAGTGCATGCTCCGGGCCGACGGCGTGTGTGCAAAGTCCGCGCTCGTTCGCATCGAATTCCTCCGCGTAAAAAAATACGGTTTCGTGCGGCCGAACACAAAAAGTGTGTGCGCGCCTACAGTAGGGTTGTATTCCGTTAAGCCAGGGCGTCGTGTTGACCATGTCTTGGGCCACAAAGGTGCAGGTGTTTCAGAGAGGGGCGTAGTGATGCGAAGATGATCACCGCCTTACATAGGATTTTACTTGGGTGGTTACCGCCTTATACAGGGAGATTACCGATGTAAGGCGGTGCCGCCTTATATCGGGTCTGAGTTGTGTGCGCCAATTTCAGCCGCCTTATATCGGACAACCGCCTTATTCACACCGCCTTATATCGGGCCCCCTACTGTAAAAACAAATTGTGAATGAATGATCACGTTCAGTCCGAAGCTCCGAACCACGCACTTTTTTGACCTGAACGCCCTAGGCGCGAGGGATCAGACCATCGGCCGTCCTGCACTACTTTAGACACCCTCCGCAAGTTTCAGCTTGATTGGGGCCTCCGCGTTAAGGTTAGAATGTTGCGCTGACCGGCCTTCTCAAGCACGAAACGCGAGCATGCAGCAGGTGCTTCCCGCACCGCATTGCTCCGATCTCGATGAAGTTGAGTCAAAACGTTGCCTATCCTCCACCAAATTGAAGCCCCGTCCAATCTACAGCTAGCTGAATTGACAAGTAAGTCCCAACGCTGGAATAGCGGTGCGTCAACCAATTTTGCCGGCCAGCGGGAGGTTCGGGCCACACCGCTGCAGCCTTTCGCGGAGTTTATTCCGCCGCATGTCGCACGCACACAACGACGAGATGATGATTGATGACTCTCTCTTTCCTCGTCGAACGCACCCAAGCCATAAATATGCATCCATTCAAATCCATTGTACAATAACTTCCGAACAACTAGCGCGTGCATATAGGTGCCTACCTGCCATCAAATTCCAATCTACAACGGGACTATCCACTTCGAGGCTGGGATCAGCCTGCCAACGACAGGGTCGGGGCCTGCCCCGCGGAGGCTGCTTATTCCGCCGCCGCGTTTGGTGGTTCATACATTTATTTGTTCTTGACTTTTCGCGCACGCGAATAGAGGGGCTTCGACTACCTTCGCCTTCAGGGAATTTAACTGGCGGCATAATATGTTCTCTGGTCTCGAGTAATTTTTGGGTGTGTGTGTCAATTTTGTCGCGCCTTTTTGAGATAGAGACCTTAAGGTTGCTAGAGGCATAGACTATATGGTAATAGAAACGGTAGGCCAAGCTTTGACAGAAAGGAGCGTCGTTCGTGCGATGTTGCGGCATGCGCGTTTCTATTGGTTGTTTGTTGGTTTGTAGAAAATATCATTCTGCAGGTCGGCTTTGGGACGACCATTGATAAAATATGCCATGATATCAAATATCATCATCTATCAGCATTCTTCGTGCATTTACCACATTATTATCGACCTCCTTTTCTCACACCTGCAGCAGTGCATACCACCTAAAAAAAGAACTCCTGGAGGACCAGCACGGTTGCCCGAGGCAAGCTGCGATACAATTGGAGAATACAATTGTATGAGTGACCTTCTTCAGCCACAGCGGTCGCAAATGGTGATCTTGAAGCTGGTTTTTGTGCGCCTGAGAGTGAGAAGGCCTTCTGTGTAGAACCGTCACCTGCGGCAAGGAATCATGGCTGCGTGGAGATCAGGTGTTACTTGTTCACTATTGTTCGCCGAAACACAAGAGAACCGCCTTCGCACAAGATCGAATCCGCGGGTTGGCTCGCGCCGACCGCGGTGCGTATGTGACGTTAATAAAGTGAATCTCGCTGGCGTTGTCCTTGAGTATTGAACAACATTTGGTGAATAGGAGCCCCTCCTTGTTTCCGGCGGTGCTCCCCTTTATTGCTTTTTACGAGAAGGGTCCAGATATCGTTTTCCTTCGTCACCGTGAAGTTGTCGTGTGAAAACTAATATTCACGAATGAATAATTCCCCCGCTAGAATTGCACTCCAACCTCAGGGCGGGGGCGACCTCACAGAAGCGCCAAGTGAATTGCCGCAAGAGCAAATGAATGATTTAACAGTATATCGATGTACGTCATCAGCTCATCAGGGTTTAGGATATGGAAGGCTCGCCAAGGTCGTGTGGCGGATCCTTCCGTGTTGTGAGGTGCCTTTGGTGTTTCTTGGTGGGAACCTTGATTTGCCAACGCATGATATGCGTGGTGAACATATCATCAGCAAGATCCGCCATACGTTTGCTTTGTTGTTACGAAACTTTGATGTTACATAGTGGTGTTGAAGGTTGCCACCCAAGAGATACTGTGGTGTGGCTGGATACTGCAAATATTACCGACAAAAGAAAAACAACTGCCTATGTAGGACGGACTGCAATCAATTTTTGCAATGGGCCAACCCATCGCGCATTCCACACCTTCACTGCATCCTAGGCAACCATCGGTGTAAGCGAAGATGGATGTTTAGTGTTGGTGTGCGACAGAATATTCCAAGAGGTGGGCGGAATACAGTAGATGAGGATGGACAGCAGTGCTGCTGCCGAGAGAAACTTCGTCGAATACCCTCAATGCCCCCTCTAATGTAAATAGACCAGGAAGGACGAGCCACACGACACGTAAACACGTTCATATATGTACTCGAGATGTCATCGACCAGTCATCACGCGTAGCGTGAAGAACAAAAGAACAAGACGAGGACGAACAGCTGTCCACTCCACATCCCTAACCACCCGGCCTCTGCCCTCTCTCATTGGCTTCTCTTCACAAAGTCTACCGCTATAGCTTCTCGTTCTTCCCGCCTGGCTCTCTCCTGGCGTCTTTCCGGATAGTAGTGTCGTTCTCATCTTCACACAACGTTGTAACAAACAAAACAACCACCACACTACTCATACGAAAATTCGTTGCTGCAAACCTCAGTACCGTCACGAGCAATCCGAGAATTTGCATGGGCACCAAAAATTACTGGCTATTCCTCACGTCGGTTGATGGCACGAAGATGACACCGCAAACTTTTCCTTTTCGATGTAGTCTACGTTGATGCGGCTGTTCCGGGTTTGATGAGATTATGTGCTCTTTGAGGTTTCTGTCAGGGATCGTCCAAAACATTCGTTAACTTCTTACTGCTCGTTTGTCTACACAGTATCTGATGTTCGCCATTCGACTGAGAGGTAACGTACCTGGGTGGTACATCGGGGTCGGCATCTGGTCCATGCGTAAAGGCTAGCATTGCGGATGGACTAATGTGAGGAGTTTTGCGCGAGCAATTTGGAATCTACAGAACACAACGTGTGGTAGCTCGCGTGTTCTGGCCGGGAGTGCTGTGTAGTGTTGTTCCTTATGCTAGGGGGAGGACGTTGGCGGGGAATCGGCTGTCAAAGCTTCATGTCAACAGGTTCCTTAGTTGGTATTGGAACGACATATTAACACACCCGCTGCTGAGGGCGCTCTCAACCATGACGTTACATGCAGCCGCTGCATGTCTACCTATCTCGGGTCGTGAAGGCTATTGTCCACACCTGGGTAGCCACCTTTGGAGTTGGA